ATTGGTGGTCAGTCGTGGAATTCTTGCCTTTCATGCCGGAGACCCGGGTTTGGTTCCCGGCCAGCGCACCTCACATGCAGCTACCAGCTGTCTGTCATTGGTGGAACATGTGTTGCTATGATTCAGAACAGGCTGCAGTGGCGTTTTCAGACTCAGACAGACTAGGAAGAAAGGTCTGGTGATCTACTTCAGAAAATTAGCCAGTGAAAACTGTGTGAATCACAATGGTCTGATCTGCAACTGATCATGGGGATGGTGCAGGACTGGACACCATTTTGTTTCATTGTGCATGGGGTCGCTGTGAGTCAGGGGCCCACTCCACAGCAGCTTGCAACAACAGTGTGTATTAAGTGGATCATAATTTTGATAATACCTTGTTCTTCTCAGAGTATGTGTGTGTGTGTGTGTGTGTGTGTGTGTGTGTGTGCGCCAACAAACACACATATACACATCTTTAGGTAGTCTTCACAACAAACCTGTGTGTTTAGGAAGGACAACCACAACAATTATGATTATACCCATTGTAAACAATCTACCTATTCAGTCAACATGTTTTGAGTTCCCCTTTGGTACCAGGCTCTATACTAGATGCTTGAAGTCACAAATAGGGAAATCAGGTTATGTAAGTTTAATATATTTTTTTCCAATCCATTTTTTATGCTTTTGCATCCGTAGATCTCTCTCTCTCTCACACACACACATTATTTGACATAAGTTTTTACGTTGTATGTACAGTTCTGAATATGACTTTCTCACTCAACAATGTTTTGAAACCTAGCATTGCTTACACATATAATTTTTTTGTTTTTCACTATTGTATAATATTCCATCATATAAAATAGTCACACTTTCTTTATCTCCTCCCCTACCAGTGGGCATTTAACTTGATTCTGGTTAGAACCAAACCAGTTGCTGTCGAGTCAGCTCTGACTCATGGGGATCCCACTAGTATCAGAGTAGAACTGTGCTCCATAGGGTTTGCAATGACTTGGTTTTTGGCTGATTTTCCAAGGTGCCTCTGGATGGACTCGAACCTTCAACCTTTAAGTCAGCAGCCGAGCACGTTAACCATTTGTACCACTCAGGGATTCTCTAGGGTAGATGCCTGGAAGTGAGTCGTAGAGTGTGGACTGATGCCCTTTTAATAGGTGCTGCTGGGCTGTCCGTCAGATTGGCCACATCAGTCTGTTCTCCCATCAGCAGTAAATGGAAATAACTATTCGCTCACTCCTCACCAATATTAGTTGTTGGCAAAATCTTATTTTTTGCCAACCCAGTGGTCGAAAATATCTCGTTTCATGCTGACACATTTTACAAGTCCCATTCTGCAGCCAAGGATATATGACAGTGTGTCAGGACTGCTAAAATCAGACCCAGCTTTGCGTAAGAGAACAACATGCATCCAGAAGCTTACAGCAGGTGGGTCATTTTCAAATGCGGAAGGAACTGGCATATTGTAGTAGCATGTAGGATTTAAAAAGAAAGTTGAACCGACTCATCCTTTCCACAAACATTTATTAAGCATTTTGTACTAGGCTCAAGGATTATAAAGATAAAGAAATTACACTCTGTGATATCAGGGAAGGCGGTGCTTACACCAGCGGGCTTTGTAAGGCTGTAATAGTGAATGCCCTAAGAACTACGAGAGCACAGAGGGAGGAGAATATCGTTTTCCTTCTGTCAGTGATGGGAAGGCGTTCCTGGGTGCCGCAGACAGTTAAGCGCAGGACTACATAACTGGAAAGCTGGAGGTTTGAACCCACCCAGAGCTGCCTGAAAAGAAAGGCCTGGCGAATCTGCTTCCAAAAGGCCACAGCCTCAAAAACCCTGTGAATCGGTTCTACTCTGCACACATGGGGTTGCCGTGAGTCAGAATCAGCTCGACAGCAGTTGGGGTGCTTTTTTTGTGCAGTGATGAGAGTGAATGTTAGAAAGTCACCCAACTAAAGGGCAGTAAATGCTGCAGTAAGTGTTTAAAGATAGTTTACACCTTTCCGGGAAGAGGCCCCAGGTAAGTAAAGCATTACTGAAGAAGAGAAACAAAGTGGGAGGCCTCACATTACCTGATTTTAGAACCTATTATACCACCACAGTCCTGAAAACAGCCTGGTCCTGGTACAACAACAGATACAAAGACCAATGGAACAGAATTGAAAATCCAGACATCA